TATATGTAAAAATTCGTTAAAATTACAAAAATAATAAATATGAACCCATAACTTTAAAAATATAATGGATTCAATGCTAAAACATTAAAAGTAAAACCCATGGAGTTTAAATCCTGGATCCGCCTCTGATGCCGGTGATATTAAAGTTGTGTCCTATTAGGAAAATCAATTAAGGTACACTAATTTCGCCTAACTAGTACAACATCACATCTTCATTCTGCCCAATTTGACAACCTTTTAGAGTATAACAAATAAACTCTAACATCCGGAAATCACATATATAAAGTAAAACATCAACTTCTCCTATAAAAATCTGATTTTTTTAACCACAAAATAGGCATAGGCAGGTCTAAAAGCTATGTATTCAATCTGTTCAACGATATGCCTCAACCAAATCATAACAAAAACCACAGCATTAACAAAAAAAGGGGAAAGCACCAACCTTTATTCCGAGAAATGGTTGTTGAAGCTCTTCATCAGGAATAACAACAGGCCATTTCTCACCAGCTTCACGAAACATTTGTTCAGTCTCAAGATACTGACCCTTTTCAAGAATCATAGTACGGATGTTCTGTGCGGGTGTAGAAGTGGCATCATAGCTTTGCTCGACTCCATTGACGAAGGTGACGGTGATTTGGGGTGGGTGATCATCGGTGCGGCGCTTGACTTGAACCTGACAACTTGGGTTTGATTCTTTGGCTTTAGGAGCATTACATTGAGCCAAAAACTCCATACATGAAGCTATTCTTGGGTCTAAGGCATTGAATTCGATTTTCACCTTTGACAAGAATTTCAACATCTTTGCTCTTAGCTCTCAAACAATTTCTCTTTTGTCTTCTCAAACACTGATTTCCACTTCCCCTCTCTTGTATATATTTCGTTTTAATAAATTATTTCATAGTGAAAACTTTTTTACTTTATCAATTTTTTGACAACTTTTTATTACTTCTATTTTGGCTTCGACACATGTTTTTTTTCTTTCTTTTTGTGCCATTTAGTGGGTGTTTGGACATAAGAATTATAAAATTTCAACAAAAAATAAAGAATTTTTTTTCAAGTGAAAATAAAAGTTGTGTTTGGATATGAATATAATTTTGGTGAGTGATCTGGGTGAAAATTTTAAAAAATAGTTCTTTTTGGAGTTTTTTAAATTTTCGAAAACTTCCAAAATTTATTTTCAAGTGAAAATTGAAAATTTTATATCCAAACACTGATTTGGAAAAAAGTAAAAATTTTCTTATGTCCAAACGTGCTCTTAGTTTTACGAAATTAATAATAAAAAAAATTAAAAAATTTCTTATGTCCAAACGGGCTCTTAGTTTTACAAAATAAATGGTCAAAAACTTACTCGCACATGTATGTACATCTTTTATAAGAGGAATTTTCACAAAATAAAATAATAATAATTCTAAATATCATTTGTGAATAGAGAAAAGGAATCAAGGGCAAGATGTGCGAGATATTATTTTTGGTGGAAGCCAACCAGCAAGTAAACGAAGTCTCACTGAATATCCGAGCTCAGTCAATAATACAAGAATAAATGTTTTTCTAGAATGCTTACATCACATAGGTATGCATGATCTTGGTTTCACTGGCGCACGTTTCACCTGGTGGACTAATGAAAGAAAGTTAATGCGCACACATATATTAGAACGACTTGACAGATTTTTAGCAAACTCCGATTGGTTGCGCCTCTTTCAAGATTCATTTGCATTACACCTCCACCTCCCAACAAGAAGTTGTGAGTTCGAGTCACTCCAAGAGAGCAAGGTGGAGAGTTCTTGGAGGAAGGATGCCGGAAGTCTATTGGAAACAACCTCTCTACCCAGGATAGGGTTAAGGTCTGCGTACACACTACCCTCCCCAAACCCCACTAGTGAAATTATACTGGATTGTTATTGTTGTTATTTGTATTACACCTCCCTCGCAGACACTCTGACCATTGTCCTCTTCTATTAAATCTTGCACGTGCCACCTCTAGCAGCCGGGATTTAAATTTGAAACCATTTGGCTCACCCACCCTGACTTCATTCGCATAGTACAAAATATTTGGTCTACAACCAATTATTACATCCCTCCCCTCCAACACTTTACCGAAGTTCCTAAAAGTTGGAACTATTCCTGCTTCGGGAATTCCACCAAATGAACATTATTCAAGCTAGAATTGATGGACTCCAAAAAATGGTCTCACACCTTAGAACAACTTACCATTTACACCACGAACACACACTTATTCAATAATTTAATGTACTCCTACAAAACGAAGAAGAATTTTAGAAACTTAAAATCACGTATACAAAACCTTTATGACGGTGATGCCAACACCAAAATTTTCCACGTTAGTACTATTCATCGTCGTCAGAAAAATCGCATTTTGGGCCTTCATGACACTGTCGGTAATTGGGTCTTGGACCCGACCTTCATAAATAACATTATCACAACCCATTTTCAATGGACCTGCACCACTGAACTTTTCCTCACCTTAAAACAAACAGCAGTACATGCACTGCAAGCACTTACCTCAGAAAATTCTCTACACCTAAGTCGTTCAAAGCACCAGGTCCACGTGGATTCCATCCTCTTTTTTTCCAACAACACTGACCTCAAACCAAAGGAGCCATCACCCGATTTTGTAAGGATATATTCTCCACCTCCTTTCTTCCACCTGAAATTAATCAAACTTATATTTCATTAATTCCTAAGATTAAAAATCTGGAACGCATCACCCAATATCGTCCCATCAGCCTCTGCAACACTATTTACAAAACAATTACGAAATTTATTGTCAATCGCATTCAGCCCTACCTCCCCTTCTTAATTAGCCCTTACCGGAGTAGCTTCATTCCAGGCCGTCGAGCCATTGACAATGCAATTATTGTCCAAGAAGCAGTGCACTCTTTCAACAAACACAAAGGAACTGTAGGTCATATGTTGATAAAAATTGACCTAGAAAAAGCATTTGACCGCCTTGAATGGTCCTTCATACATTACTCCCTGGCTAACGTTAACTTCCCACCATCCTTAATCACACTCATTATGAACTGCATATCCACTTCCTCCATCTCCATTATGGTTAACGGCAAACCCATACTTTTCTTCTCACCATCTAGAGGTATCCAACATGGCAACTCCCTATCCCCATATATATTCATTATTTGCATGGAAACACTTACTTGTCTTATTCTACATGCCACAGAGGCTAAGGAATGGGACCCCATTCCAATCTCGCGACATGGGCCCTTTATCTCCCACCTAATGTTTGCTGATGACCTTATTCTTTTCGCCAAAGCAGACGTTAAAAACGCATCTAACATTCACTCCATCATCCAGCGTTTTGGCATTCTCGCTGGCCAACAAATCAATTACGCTAAATTAGAAATTATTTTTATTCTCGCCAATGTATCTCTGCTATTCTTCGAATGTGTACATCCTCCACTATTGGTAAATACCTTGGACTACCCATCACTAACCTTCAACCCAAGAGTAGCGATTACCAATATCTTCTTGATCGCATACGCACTCGATTACAAGGATGGAAAACAAAGATTCTTGACCTGGCGGGTCGTACTACACTTATCTAATCTGTCCTAGCCTCCACCCAACTTATGTCATGCAAGTAATCTTCTCCCTACAAAAATTCTCCGCCACATTAATCAAATTCAACGAAACTTCCTTTGGGGCACTATTACAAAAAAGAACATATTCATCTAGTCAACTGGCAACAAGTTACCCTCCCCAAACGACAAGGTCGATTGAATATTCAAAAAACTAAAGGCAAAATTATGGCCCTTCTTATCAGTCTAGCTTGGCGATTCCAACAACCAAATACCCTTTGGGCGCAAGTCCTTTGCGTCAAATATCACCACCACCAACAACATCCTAACACTCCTACAACCAAAAAACATACTTCTTTCATATGGAAGTCCCTAGTAAAAGGTTATTCCCTTTCAACACACGCTGTTAAATGGAAAATCGGCAACGGATCACTCATCAATGTATGGAATGATACTTGGCTATCTAACAACTTCCCCATTCGAAGCCTTATCCATGGCCCCCTCACTTCATCCGAATCTACTATCACCGTTAACTACCTCCTTCAACAAAGCCAATGGAATACCCCTCTAATTTCATTCCAGTTGCCCACACACGTCTTGCGACTCATCCATAATACATATTTTTACCTATCCCTTAACCGAGTTGATACACTCTTCTAGGTTTTTTCGCAACAAGGCTTCTCCACTGCCTCCGCATATCAGCTTTATCTACACATCTCTCTCCCTGAACAACCATATGTCACTAACCTACCTTGGATCTGGAAACTTAAAATTCCACCAAAACTCAAAACCTTCCTCTGGCTTCTTCTACTACAACGCCTCCCCACAGCTTATTTCCTAGTATCCATCAATATGCTTACTACACCTAACTGCCACTCTTGCCCCCACGTACTTGAAACACTCACACACCACGACTGCACATCGCGCATGGTCTTTCTTCCACATCACACCACCAACTACAAATTTTTCGGCCTGGCTCAAGCTTTATTGTGCCACCCCACAGGAACCTTTCACCTATTATGGTATTGATGTTCCTGCATCACTCCTGGTTCCTTTTATCCTCTGGCATATTTGGAAAACCAGAAATGATAATCTCTTCAACAACCTGTAAGCACGTGATTTTTGACCCTCCCCGGGAATTTTTACGTTCTTAGCTTAAAATATTTAA